TGAATAGACGAAATGGGAATAAGTATTTTACGAGTTGTTCGTTCCTTCTGTCCGTACAGCCGGTGCACAGCGCTGCTGATTTGTATCTATCTATACGTGTGCGTGTCGTGTTTTAGTTTTACCCGCACCTGTTTCAGGGCCTGCACTACCGGATCTGCATTAGCCTTCTTCCCGGTTTTCAGACGAATGTCCGTGACGAATTCAGTCATGTCATTGAAATTCTGCTTTAAGTCGTCCTCTGACATCTTAAGATTCCGGTTATGATACTGACAGTTCCTGATCTGTAAAATCTTGAAAGGAAAATTCGGGAAATCAGATATAGCTGCCACAAGACTATATCGCGGACTGAACCATGTGGCGCGCAAAATATGCATACGTTTTTGTATGCGTTGTTATTATTGTTATTATTATCATCATTATCATCATTATCATCACTATCACAAGCATCATCATCATCATCATCATCATCCTCATCGTCATCATCATCGTCATCATCGTCGTCATCGTCGTCGTTATCATCATCCTCCTCATCGACATCATCGATCATTGCCGTCGTCGTCACCATCATTGTCATTAACATTATTATTTGAATTCGTCACAAAATGGCGGTCAGTTTCTTGGCTTCGGGTTTTACAATACGGTTCAGGCCTTTTCTTTCAAAATAGTTTTAGATCAAGAAAGATGAGGATTCCGAGAAAAAGATGAGCAAACTAACCAGAGGACAGAATCTCTAACATCAACTAGCAGTTGCTAACATTATACCAATCCTGACACAGTGCTGATAGAAGGCGAATTCACATGCGTTCATAGGAAAATGAATTGTATAGAGAAAGAACTGTGAAGGGAAACTAATTGTAAATGGAAATAACTGTAAATGGATAAAACTGTAAAGAGAAAAAACTGTAAAGCGTAACTTATAGCGGCGGGATATGACTTGCCTTTGCCGTTAACTTGCTATTGACACGTTTGGCGAAACGTTTGCAGTTCTTGATAAGATTTAAAAGTCCAGACGCGTCCGTCTCCTCTGGGCCGCCCACCTTCCACTGACCAGAGTTCATGAAAAGCTAGACAAGCGATAAGAAAAATACCATGTTATTATGTTCTCAGTTGTGAGTATAGTAAGATCCTTATGTTGTGCAGCAGCAGCAACAACAACAGCAACAAAAATAACGATAAAAACAATAATATTATTAAAATAATAATAAGAAGAAGAAGAAGAACAACAACAACAACAACAACAACA